AAGACAGAACTGAGCCTGATGTTTTGTGCGCCTTAACAGGCCACACCCTTTCAATAGAGATCATCCTTAGGGTATAAGGAATAAGAATAAGGAATAAGTTTCAAGATGATCACTTAAGAATTGTGGCCTGTAGGCGACAGGCAGACACACACACACACACACACACACACACACCCCCACACAGGGGCGACAGCAATATACGTCCACATTATGAATGTGGACATATAAAAAACTGAGTCCGATGTTTTGTGCGCCTTTACAGGGCACACCCTTTCAGTTATAGAAAATTTGAAAAAAAGAATATTTGCTTTCAAAAAGTTGTACCAAACTGTCAAAATTGTAGTTTTTGCTAAATTTACGTCACTTCAGGTGCCGAAAGGAAACTTCCACCGGTAACAAAAAAAAAATGACATTTTGGACCATGGAGCAAATGAACTTTGTTTTATACAAATCAAACAATAAATAATTAATCTAGAACCCATAAACTGAATTAGCGTTCACAAGAAATTGTGCACGACGGCAATATACGTCCACATTAATAAAGGAAATTTCTGAAATTGAATAGGCTTCTTTGTTTTACTAATTCAAATAATGCATGTAAATTTCATACAGATCACATGGTTTAACAAAGTGAAACAAGGGCCATAACTCAAGAAGTTATAAACGGAAATTTTTGAAATTCAATAGGTAGGGTGCCCCATCATAAATAAATATCTCCCAATGGGTCGACAATTACACCACAATATTTATATATATACCAATCCTTGAATCTGTTTGGCACATCATAGTCACTAAATAAACGGCCATGTTGTACTTAATAAGCTATGACCATTTAACCATCGATAAATAATAGACTGAAAAATGGTTCCAAGTGTCGTCCATAACATCCAGTCACTTTTGAGCAAAAAATAGGTTACGTGCCCTTGTTACGGGCCGGGATAATCAAGACTACTTTTTTTACAAAATATGGCAGAAAGCTGGAACAAAAAATTGAATTTAGAAACCCGCACGGTAGGCAACTCAACAAATGTTTTAAGAACTTATAAAAGTTAAACGAAACTACTGCTAGTATCATGTTCCTGCCTCACCCGAGTGTTTCAGAGATATTATTTGTACTAAACCAAAAGATGCCGCTCCTTACGGTATAGTTAATGATAAAGCAATTTAAAAAATAAAACGAAAGTAATTTCTAAAGCTGCTGTAATAACAAAAGATAGGTTGCCAGGCAACGAAACATACGCCCACAGCAGCTATATCGTCCGTGCCGTCAACAAGAGTTGGCGCATATCTTTACTTTTTTCGGTAATGAAACATTTATAATACATTAAAATCTGATTAAGAGTAACAACTCAATAAGTAATTATCAGAAAACCATTAGAATTTGTTTGGTTTTAATAAAGTTCTGCTCCATGCTAACGCTTAGTATACAAAACTTTTAATATCATGGATTTAGCTGTTCAAGTCATAAAGATTCATTGATAATCAATATACTTGTTCGGATGATAACTTTAGCCTCTAGAGCGTCCACAAAAGTGATCAAGGGCCATAACTCGGGCAGTAATTATCAGAAATCGCTGAAAATCAACAGGCTTATTCGTCTCATGATCTTAAACTCTGTGTATCAATCTGAAGTCAATCGGATGATAACTTTAGCCTTTAGAGCGTCCACAAGATTTTTCAAAGTGATTAAGGGCCATAACTCTGACAGTAATTATCGGAAATCGCTGAAAATCAGAAGGCTTCTTCGTCTCATGACCTTAAACACTTTGTATAAATTTAAAGTCAATCGGATATGAACTTTGACCTCTAGAGCGTCCACAGAATTTTTTGAAGTGATCAAGGGCAGTAACTCTTGCAGTAATTATAGAAAATCGTTGAAAATCAACAGGCTTCTTCGTCTCATGATCTTAAACACTGTGTATAAATTTAAAGTCAATCGGATATTAACTTTAGCCTTTAAAGCATCCACAATATTTTTCAAAGTGATTAAGGGCCATAACTCTGACAGTAATTATCGGAAATCGCTGAAAATCAGAAGGCTTCTTCGTCTCATGACCTTAAACACTGTGTATAAATTTAAAGTCAATCGGATATTAACTTTGACCTCTAGAGCGTCCACAGAATTTTTTGAAGTGATCAAGGGCCGTAACTCTTGCAGTAATTATCGAAAATCGTTGAAAATCAATAGGATTCTTCGTGTCATGACCTTAAACACTATGTATAAATTTAAAGTCAATCAGATATTAACTTTAACCTCTAGAGCGTCCACAAGAATTTTTGAAGTGAAATGAAATGAAATGAGGTTTAACGTCCTACTGTTCTGCTCCTATACTGGGCTAATGAAGACGGGCATACGCCATACAGTGTGCTATGAGGGAAATTTTGCCCGGGCAGCGGCACTATCGCCTACTCTTATATAGAATTCCAACTACCAAGGGGTCTTTTACGTGCATTCCAATGTATACACGGGACCTCTGTTTTCCGTCTCATCCGAAGGACTAGACAGCTGTCCTTGTCAGACCCTCCGTTCTGCATCACTGACAAGGGGAAATTTTTTGAAGTGATCAAGGGCTATAACTCTGTCGGTAATTATCGAAAATCGCTAAAAATCAATAAGTTTCTTCGTTTCATGACCTGTGTATAAATTTAAAGTCAATCGGATATTAACTTTAGCCTCTAGAGCGTCCACAAGATTTTTTGAAGTGATCATGGACCATAACTCTAGCAGTATTTATCGAAAATCGCTGAAAACCCAATAGGCTTCTTCGTCTCATGACCTTAAACACTATGTATAAATTTAAAGTCAATCGGATATTAACTTTGACCTCTAGAGCATCCACAAGATTTTTTGAAGCGATCAAGGGCCATAACTCTGGCAGTAATTATAGAAAATCGCTGAAAATCAATAGGATTCATCGTCTCATGACCTTAAACACTGTGTATAAATTTAAAGTCGATCGGGTATTAACTTTAGCCTATTGCTTGTGGACGCCGGACGGACCGACGGGGGCGACAACAATATACGAACACATTTCAATGTAGGCGTATAAAAACCTAAATATTACTGCTATTCAGAATCGTCAACAATAGAGAATTTCACGTGCGATGGCTATTTATAGACTCAAAGAGAGTGCGTGACTAGCCAGAAATCACTTAGAGACAAGCCACTGAAGCGTGTACATTCACCGTGTCGAGTATCACTTTTAGTAGGGAATATTTTAGACACATGGGGCACCCTACAATAGGATTCTTTGTTTTATTAATTTAAATAATGCATGTAAATTTAATACAGATCGGATAATAATTTTAGTTGTTAGAGCGTTCACAAGGTTCTACAAAGTGAAACAAGGACCATAATTCTAGAAGAAATTAACGGAAACTGTTGAAATTTAATAGTCTTCTTCGTCTCACTAAAGTAAACAACATATATAAATTTTCAAATTGATCAGATAATAAATGTAGTCTGTAGAGTGTTCACAAGAAATTGTGGAAGACGGAAGTGCGTACTACATTTCCATATGGACGTACAATAACTGTAGCTTTAAGACATTTTTTGGATACTGGGAGTTACACTAAATATCGATAGGGTTTGTCCTCTCATGAACCCAATGCATCACAACACGTTTTAAAATGATGGAAACTGGTTTTTATTGTACCCACTAAGTTTTCGGCTACGGGACATTACTTTAGCACAAAGGATCGCGGAACGCTGATTATCAATAGGGTTAGTCCTCTCATGAACCCAATGCTTCACACCAAATTTGAAATTCACAGGGTTTTCGGGAAAAGGGGCATAACTCCGGATCAGAAAGTCCAATGTGCACCAATTTCAAACTAGAGGGTCAACAAATTCTGTACATATTTCACATTTTGCATACAAATCAGAGGACATGCTTATATGTGCAGGTGGTTTTGTATTTGCAAACTTCCAGCAAGAAAAACAAAATTAATGACAAAAGAGAAATGAGGTTTAAGTCCACTCGACACAAACTAGGTCATTTCGGGACTAATACATGGTTTAATTTTATTTCAATAATTCTCTTGCGCGTAGGAAACCGGAGAAAACCCATGAGGTTGGAAAGGCGACCCTACTCCTTGCCACGTACAACCAGGGATTCGAAACCACGCCAGTTGACTCAATGACAGACTTTATGGTACAGCGCACACGTGCTAACCATTCAGCCACTCAACTCCCCTTAATGGTTAAAGGGCACCAGTGAAACATGGCAGAGCTGCAATGAAGATCTAGTTACTAGGGTTTCACACTGTGTGCCTTGTGTAAAACACTATATAATGTGTTTGTTATACAACCACATTTTCCTTGGACATATTACGTCGTTGCACGCTACACTTTACACATCACAATTTTTATTCAAGTTTGACGAAACTTTAAATATTATGTTAAGGATCAAAAGATCTTGGATGGGTTCACTTTTGTTGTGCATCAGACCTACCAAGCTGGAGTTATATGACCAATGTCTAGTATTATTTTTTTTAATTGTTTTTAATTTCAAATCTATATTTTCATTAGAGGCAGACAGCAATTAATATGTCAGTCAATTGAAATTATGAGAGGCTGGCAACTAAAGTTTCTTTAACTATTGTTTTAAATGCCTTAAGACTTAATCCTTCAATAATTATATGTTTATGTCTACACCTTTTATAGTAACTAATTCATATAAAAAGACAAATGTATGTAAGATGATTCATTAGTTGGAGAGACCAAATTAGGGAACCTATATACTAGTTGGAGGTCTGATTTATAGGAAACAATAAGTTGTTTAATTGTTGCTGTTAATTCTCCTGAAATAAAGTGTTGAAGATTCATTCCAAGAATCTGTTTTCATTTCCGATACTTAGAGAACACGCATCAACTGGTGTTAATTATATCCCCTGTCATTTACACAAAATGTGGAATATGTACAAAATTGTGGACCCTCTAGAGGCGACGTTCCATTCTAAAGTTATGCTGACTAGTGATTAGACCTGTGTGTACTCACCTTTCTTGTACCTTTGAAGATCAGCAACAAAAATAGCGATATCATTACTGAAATAAACAGAAATGGACAATCATCATCAAATCTTTAAAATTTCTGTTCAGTGCTAGAAATTAATGTTCTACTAATCTATAAAACAATTATTTGAACATTATCAAATTTCAAACTATCTTTAGGCATTGCCTCTCAACCCTCACAAGCCACAACCTTTCAAAAGCAAAAGTTTTGTCAAAGGGCAACCTATACGCTTATTTAGAGTTGTACAATGCTATACGCGCCCCTTTGCAATGCGTTAAATAAGCATTGCTTAATTAACGCTTTAATCTAATCTAACATTAAAAATACAATACAATATCAATACTTTACAGCTCTAAATACATCCTTTACAATTTCAAGTCCTAATTCTAAAATATCATTACACTGATAAACATGCTACAATAATATAAGTTCACTAATTCACTGTCAATATAATTACTCGGTTATACGTTCCAACACAATAAGAAAACACTGTTTCAATGTCAATAAGTTAACTGTTTCTAACACTAAATAATTTCATGTCCTGTTTCTATTGTTCTGTTTCTTGCACTGTGAATTTGTTGATCCTTTAAGTTAACACTTCCGCTAACTGCGCTTCAGAACCATATCTTCTTACATACGCGTTGCTGGGCGTTAAGATAGGGTACAATAAATCCCATAAATGACCAGTGTACTTGCTTAATTAGACCAATTACAATTACATTACCCTTAATTTATAACATTTATTTCAATATTAATTGGAAACGATTATATCGTACTTAATCATATTCTTACCCTTAAGTTTATTTAAAATTAAACTTGTATTTACTTTATTCGGAATACACCTGTATTAATCCTTACTTCTATTTACTTTTAACTGAATAAACTAGGAACAATATAACTTAATCTGCCTCATTAATAAAGACAGGTTGCCAGGCAACAAAACATACTCCCACAGCAGCTAAATCTTCCAAGCGGTCGACAATGGTTGTCGCATATTTATTCTTTTGTAGTTCATTAGCGGCATTTAATAGACAATTTCATACAGATGACATTATAATTTTCGTCGTTTGAGGGTTCACAAGGTTCTAAAAATTAAAACAAGGGCCGTAACTCTGGAAGTAATCTACAGAAATTGTTGAAATTCGACAGGTTTTTTCGTTTAACTAATTCAAATAATGCATATAAATTTCATACAGATCGGATGATAACTTTTGTCATTCGAACGTTCACAAGGTTCAACAAAGTAAAACAAGGCCCATAACTCTAGAAGTAATTGACGGATATTGCTGACATTCAATCGGCTTCTTCATTTCACTAATTTAAAAGATTCAACAAAGTGAAACAAGGGCCATAACTCTAGATGTAATTAACGGAAATTTGCTGAAACTCATAGGCTTGTTCGTTTTACTAATTCAAACGATATGCTACATATAAATTTCATGCAGATCGGATAATAACTTTTGCCGTTAGATCATTCACAAGGTACAACAAAGTGAAACAAGGGCCATAACTCATGGCATAATTAACGGAAATTGCTGAAATTCAATAGGCTTCTTCGTTGCACTAATTTAAATGATGCATATCAATTTCAAACAGATCGGATGACAACTGTTGTCATTAGAAAGTTCAGAAGATTGAACAAAGTGAAACAAGGGCCATGACTCTAGATGTAATTAACAGAAATTTGCTGAAATTCAATAGGCTTCTTTGTTTTACTAATTTAAATGATGCATATAAATTTCATACAGATCGGTTGATAACTTTTATTGTTAGAGCGTTCACAAGGTGCAAAGATAGGTTGTCAGGCAACGAAACATACGCCCACAGCAGCTATATATGTCCGGGCAGTCAACAAGAGTTGTTGTATATTTTTACTTTTTTGGGTAATGAAATTTGGGTAATAAATTTCATACAAATCGGTTGATAACTTTTGTTGTTAGAGCGTTCACAAGGTGCAACAATGTGAAGAAAGGGCCATAACTCCAGAAGAAATTAACCGAAGTTATTGAAATTAAATAGGCTTCTTCATCTCACTAATGAAAACAACATATATCAATTTCAAAACAATCAGATGATAAATGTAGTCTGTAGTGTTCACAAGAAATTGGGGACGACAGACCGACGGACAGACGGACAGGGGCGACGGCAATATACGACCACCTTTCCATGTGGGCGTATAAAAATGCAAGAATCATTTAAATTATGCATATCAATTTCAAACAGATCGGATGATAACTCTTGTCATTAGAGCGTTCAGAAGATTGAACAAAGTGAAACAAGGGCCAATAACTCTAGATGTAATTAACGGAAATTGCTGAAATTCAATAGGCTTCTTTGTTTTACTAATTTAAATGATGCATATAAATTTCATACAGATCGGTTGATAACTTTTATCGTTAGAGCGTTCACAAGGTTCAAAGATAGGTTGCCAGGCAACGAAACATACGCCCACAGCAGCTATATATGTCCGGGCAGCCAACAAGAGTTGTCGTATATTTTTACTTTTTTGGGGTAATGAAACATTTATAATACATTAAAATCTGATTAAGAGTAACAACTCATTAAGTAATTATCAGAAAACCATTAGAATTTGTTTGCTTTTTATAAAGTTTTTATAACGTTTAGTATACGAAACTTTTAACATTATGGATTTAGCTGTTCAAGTCATAAAGATTCATTGAAAATCAATATACTTGTTCGTCTCAAGACCGTAAACTCTGTGTATCAATCTGAAGTCAATCGGATGATAACTTTAGCCACTAGAGCGTCACAAGATTTTTCAAAGTGATCAAGGGCCATAACTTTGGTAGTAATTATTCGAAATCGTTGAAAATCAATATGATTCTTCATCTCATGGACTCAAACATTGTGTATAAATTTAAAGTCAATCGGATATAAACTTTAGCCTCTATAGCATCCACAAGATTTTTCAAAGTGATCAAGGGCCATAAGAGTTTTCAAATAATCAAGGGCTATAACTCTGGCAAAAAATCAATAGGATTCTTCGTCTCATGACCTTAAACACTGTGTATCAATTTAAAGTCAATCGGATATTAACTTTAGCCTCTAGAGCGTCCACAAGATTTTTCAAAGTGATAAAGGGCCATAACTCTGGCAGTAATTATCGGAAATCGCTGAAAATCAGAAGGCTTCTTCGTCTCATGACCTTAAACACTGTGTATAAATTTAAAGTCAATCGGATATTAACTTTGACCTCTAGAGCGTCCACAGAATTTTTTGAAGTGATCAAGGGCCATAACTCTGGCAGTAATTATCGAAAATCATGACCTTAAACACTGTGTATAATTTAAAGTCAATCGGATATTAACTTCTGGGCGTATAACAAAACAGCATCTTGAAATAAATGTGATCAATATTTATCTCAAGACCAAGCTGTTCGCTACTCATGACTCTAATAGCCAATATAACACAACCGTAAGTTATCATATTCCCTACTTTCAACACACATAACATATAACAAATTAATAATAAGTTCCTGACGTTTTTGTTGTCATTAAGTATGGTTTTACGTCTACACTACGCATGGCATTTCCAAGAATTCAAAATTTATTCTACAGCTAACCGCACATTCGAATCCCACTTTAAATTACCCATTTTACCATGGTATGTTTTCCTGCTTTTAACACATACTTTGAACTTATTATCTTTTATACTTTTTTTAACAAAACAATCCAGAAACAGTTTGGACCAGGGATCTTAATCGGCTGTTTTAGCCGATTGATCTTTAATCTAGCCGATTGGTAAAACAATGAACTGGCCACTAAATTATCACAAATCAATCTACTTACGGCCGATTTACAAAGAATTAATTATCAGGCCGATTGGTAAAACAATGAACCGGCCACTATGGTATCATAAATCAATCTACTTTCGGTCGATTACAAAGAGTTAATTATTACTCGTCGATTAAGAACCCATCAAAGAGTCAATCATTACAATGAATACCTTCATCATATTTCATAAATAAACAACTTAATTGAGGTAATCAAGCCAAGTTCTTGAACACCTCGTAGAATGACACCAGGAAATGTAAACGAGATTTAACCTAAGATAGTGATCGCAGCGTTGACCTTGAACTTCAAGCATGCACGTCGTTAATGGAAATTCCAAAAGCCGGAAATCCTCCCACGTCCAATATAGGTCAACCAAATTATCGGCAATAAAAGACCATATTAATCTGACGATCATACCTGCGCAGCAAAGAAAGACGATGGCAGAACAAAGAGTTTAATTCCCAAATGTATAGAAATTATTTCAAACCGGGCGGGCGTTAATCCAAAATGCGTATTTCATGGCAAAAAGAAACACTGCCATCGAAAATTATGAACAATAATTGAATAGCAGGGACATGAAATGACAACAAATTTATATCGTGATTTTAATTGTTGTGGTGAATTTATTTCTTTAATATCCAGTGAAATTGAGGAAGAGATCCTGTCAGATATCCGAACTAGTCCTGCTGCATTAAATCCCGACAATAATAAACTAATCTGAATCACGACAATTGGCCACGTGACCTATCGCACGCACAGCATATTTCCGAGTTCCGATTATACACGGAAACTGATTTGTGCTACTTTGTTATTTATATATATATATATATATATATATATATATATATATATATATATATACACACATATATATATATATTAACATGTGCTTACGAATAAAATAATTTAAAAAAACCCATTTGTATGTTCTTGTACTTTTTACTAATTTATAACTTCCGTTTAGTTGGATGAAAGCAAAAGTAGGAATATGCAATGCAAGATGCTGAAATAATAATATAACTATAAATGTCGATATTATAGCGATGTATGAATACAAGTATGCAGTTACAAAGGTCTTGTTTATTCAGAGTTTCAGCTATTATTATCCCGAATATGTTATGCAATTACTGTCGTGAATAGAGTATGCATAAACCAACATGTTTGTTGTTGAAAGGACGACTATTCGTTAGGCCTACCCGTGGCCGGTTCATTTCAAAATGGATTAAGAACCCAGGTTTAAACCATTGCATAATCTAAGTTAACCTCTATATTGTAAGGTGCACTGTTTCATTTTAAACCATTTATTTAAAACCTAATACCGATCCACACGCAACTCGCAAATTTACAAAGGGCCATTCAGTTTTAAATTTTCCTGGGGCAAGCTTTTGCCCTCAACCTACACACCTTCTTGCGATTTACACAGGTTTTTACAAAACACGAAAATCTGGAAACCGGTACATTGCTTATAAGCTACTCACTTTTGCAGGAAACCGTGTTTCACTTTGAACCTTTTATTTAAAACCTCAAATTTACAATGAGCCATTCAGTTTTAAATTTTCCTTGGGCATTTGCCTTTGCCCTGAACCTAAACGCATTTACCGCGATTTTACACAGGTCCATACCTTCACCATACCTGGTTAAACACATATACATTACTTGAACAGAACATTACATTACATTCATTTACAAAAACACGTCTTCAATCTCCCAAAGACTTTTCGAAACGGTGTGATTACAATCTTCCTGCCAAGAACAAAGACAATCATTTATTTTATTTTCCTAGCTTTACTGTTTCAATTTTAGGAATCTTTTGTATCAGTTTATTTCCTTGTCGATTTTTCCCTACGTTAATAGACAAATTACCCATGTTTAAACCTAACCCTTATTCACTTAACATTGTATCGTATCTAATATGTAGCACTATGCAGTTCTATGAGTTGCTGGTTAGGTGTAGAAATCCCTCCGCAAAAACCCCCACATCCAACGTGCAACGCATACTCTCCTCACTGCTACATTTTATAATAGCCTTGCGGTCTTTTTTTTTAAACTTTACCTTTTTCCCTTAACTTAATTATTTTACTAGTTTGACATTCTTTTTAAAACTTTATATTTAGCAAATCCCTAACCTTTAAAATATGATAAATCTACCCCTTGGTCTTTTTGGCTTTCCATGGTCAGTTTATTAGGAAATATGTACCTACCTAAAAAAAAGACTGGAAACTTCTTCTTGCAAGGATTTTCTCCAGGGTCGAATCCTTAAGTCAACGGCACCAAATAAAATGTAACTGTGGCACTACGGGGTACAGATGTGTGACATTTTGGAGTAGCTGTGGCATTATCGTCCAGGAACTGCTTGGACTTCACACTGTTGGATCAATTATTTCAATCATCAATTAAGTGACTCTGGAACACCGTTTATGTTCTTACTAAGTTTATATAATTAAATACATACATCAAACAACAAAGTTATGATAGTACTTTTCGAGTTATTAAAATCTCCACGATCTGAGTTTAATATCCTTTCTAACTCAGATCTAACGGCTTAAACGTGGCAATGGCCACATACTTCTTGATAGTTCTACATAATGTCCGCGCTAGGATGATGTTTTCACCCTAGCCTCCTAAGCCGAAGAGGCTATAGGTAAGTTCCCCTTGAGCTCCGAATGATTGTCTTAGGGTAAATCAAACCCGCTCTTTCCTACATAGAAAATGTAATGCGTCATTTATTAGGGCGGGACAATTACCATTTTTGGGTAAGTGTTTCATATAGGCACCATTGAACGTCAACATTATTCTAGTTAATTGTACTAATTTGTGTACAAGATGACTGGACGATAGTACCCTACTTTCCAGAAATGGATACTGACATAAGTGTCTGTGAGTTAGACTAAGATAGTAGCAGAGTAATGCAAGCTACTTCATTACCCTAGTTTTCGTCACACATCATGTAGGTAAAGATTTCTATATTAAACAGAACACATTTCTTAGACCTAAAATAACCCCATACTATAGGGTTATAACAATAGGTTGATGTTTGTAGACTAAGATAGTAGCAGAGTAATGCAAGCTACTTCATTACCCTAGTTTTCGTCACACATCATGTAGGTAAAGATTTCTATATTAAACAGAACACTTTTCTTAGACCTAAAATAACCCTATAGTGTTATAACAATAGGTTGATGTTTGTACAAAATTTCAAAAAGATTTATTGAACGGATATTGAAATATGCTCCGGAAATGAAATCAGAATGGAAGAATGGTGATTAGAAAATAAATAGGTTTATGAATGTGAGAAAATTTCTAATTAGCAAAAGGCACTACTTCTATAATAGGTTAATGTTTATACAAAGTTTCATGAAGATACCTTGAATGGTTTATGAGATATGCTCCGGAAACAAAATTGTACACCAAAAACTAAATTAAATTTGTTTCCATGGAAACACAAAAAAATATAAATCCAAGAAATTCCTAAATAGCAAAAGGCACAACTACTGTAATAGGTTGATGTGTGTACAAAGTTTCAAAAAGATACATTGTACGTTGAATGGTTTATGAGATATGCTCCGCAACGAAATCGGGACGGGCGGACAGAGCCCATTTCAATACCCCTCCTTAACTTCTTTTGGTGCGGGATAAAAATCACTTAAGAACCAATTCAGGATTTAACCATTATAATTTAATCTGTCATACACTGACAAAGGCTCAGTTTTAAAAATAGTGTCCTTATTGGTCAAGGCTATTGCATAGTTTTAGGGACAATGAACAATGACCAAATATCCAAACATGAACATATTCAATTGTTTTTCGGACAACTAGTGTCATTATGTATAACAATCGTTAAACTAGATTGGGGAGATTAGGATTTGACAGTTTTTACGCATTTTTGGAACAGGTTTCGAAGAGTTTTGGTTCTTTTATACAAGATCATTTTTGACATTTTTAAACTAAATGTATGGTGCTAAGACCACATCAAGATCAGTTTTGAATGTTCCTATTATTAATTAGAACGGGTTTTGCTTTAGCTTTTATATTTTATGCTGACATGTTATTGCTTTAAATCTTCCTAGTGCAAAAATGGAAAATTTGACCTTTTGACCTCCGGAGTCACAAAGAATAAAGGTGAATTTAGCAAGTTTACATTTTTATTCAAAGAGTGATTACTTTCGATCATTTTCAGCCTGTTTTCACGATACCAGAATGGCTGCGCATCCACTTTCAGTGCAAATGACCTCATTTGACCTTTAACTGACTGATTACCACTCGGCATTATCAGGGGCGGAGTGGGGGCGGAGTGGGGGCGGAGCGGACCCTCTTACTGACAGCTGAGCCCAAACAGGGGGTCCGGGGGCTCTCCCCCTGGAAAATTTTTAACAAGAGCATCGCTAACGCAGCAATATACGTCCACATTCCTGTTTTGTTTGATATGGTCCAGTTTGCTTTGAGAGTCTGTGAAATAAAACTGGGTTGTAGGACTGCTATCAGTTTAACACTTCGTTCACATTAACAGAACACAATTTTTATTTTAAAACAATCGATGTCTTTATTCTAAAATCATGACGTTTCGAACAGGTATGCAAAGTTTCAAAAGGATCTGTTAAGAATTGCGGTCTGTTGGCAAAACACAAGACACACAAACATTAGGCGTGGCTCTGTCCCAAGGGGTCGAGCATGCACCAAAAATAATAATAGAGGTCGGCCTTAGGATTAAGGAATAAGTATAAAAAGTAGCCTTAGGCTATAAGGAATAAGTATAAAAAAGTTTTCAAGATGATCGATTAAGAAATGCGGTCTGCAAGTGACACACAGACATAAAAAAAAGAAAATGGGCGTAGCTCTGCCCCTGGGGGTTGGGTATTCACCACAAATAATAGGGATGTTCCTTAGGATAGAAGGAATATGTATTGCTAGGTTTCAAGGTGAAACGATAAGAAATGCGATCTGTAGATGACAAACAAATAAATAAATATAAGGGATGGGCGTGGCTCTGCCCCTGGCGGTCGGGCATGCACCAAAAACAATAGGGGTCATCGTTAGGGTATAAGCAATTCATATGAAATTTTTTCAAGACGATTGATTAAGAATTGTGGCCTGTAGGTGACACACAGACATAAAAAGAAAAGAAAATGGGCGTGGCTCTGTCCCTGGGGGTAAAAAAACAATAGGGATCATCGTTAGGGTATAAGCAATTCATATGAAAAAATTTCAAGACGATTGATTAAGAATTGTGGCCTGTAGGCGACACACAGACATAAAAAAGAAAATGGGCGTGGCTTTGCCCCTGTGGGCTGGGCATGCACCCAAAACGATAGGGATGTTCCTTAGGGTACAAAGAATAAGTGTGCAAAGTTTCAAGATGATACGTTAAGAAATGTGGCCTGTAGACGACAAACAAACAAATACAAAGAATGGGCGTGGCTCTGCCCCGGGGAGGCGAGCATGCACCAAAACAATAGGGATCATCCTTGGGGTATAAGGAATAAGTATGTAAAGTTGATACGTTAAGAAATGCGGTCTGTAGATGACAAACAAATAAATAAATATAAGGAATGGGCGTGGTTCTGCCCCTGGGGGTCGGGCATGCAGCAAAGGCAATAGGAATCATACTTAGGGTATAAGCAATTCATATGAAAATTTTTAAAGACGATTGATTAAGAATTGTGGCCTCTAGGCGACACACAGACATAAAAAGAAAAGAAAATGGGCGTGGCTCTGCCCCTGGGGTCGGGCATGCACCCCAAACGATAGGGATGTTCCTTGGGGTACAAAGAATAAGTATGCATAGTTTCAAGATGATACGTTAGGAAATGCAATCTGTAGATGACAAACAAATAAATAAATATAAAGAATGGGCGTGGCTCTGCCCCTGGGGGTCGGGCATGCACCAAAAACAATATGGATCATACTTAGGGTATAAGCAATTCATATGAAAATTTTTCAAGACGATTGATTAAGAATTGTGGCCTAGTATAGGCGACACACAGACATACAAAGAAAAGAAAATGGGCGTGGCTCTGCCCCTGGGGGTTGGGCATGCACCCCAAACGATAGGGATGTTCCTTAGGGTACAAAGAATGTGTATGCAAAGTTTCAAGATGATTAGTTAAGAAATGTGGCCTGTAGACGACAAACAAACAAATACTAGAAATGGGCGTGGCTCTGCCCCGGGGGGTCGGGCATGCACCAAAAACAATAGGGATCTTCCTTGGGGTATAAGGAATAAGTATACCAAGTTTGAAGAAAATCCATGAAGAATTGCGCCCTGTAGGCGAACCACAGACACACACACACACACACACACACACACACACACACACACACATACATACATACACACACACACACACACAGACAGGGGCGACGGCATAATACGTTCACATTATGAATGTGGACGTATAAAAATGAACCCCAAATATGCGGTTTGGTGGCATATCTGATTATAATCTCTGTCAAATAATATATCTCATAAATCGATTAATTTAGGCCAAAACCCTGACCTGCAAGTAATTTACAACCATCAACCTGTGAAATTATCATATCGTCATATTATTAATTAGTGCATTATCATTGTATTGTAAAGAGTCAAGAGAATTTAACTGGTTAAAAAATGGGACTAGTTTTGACCATTTGATTAACCAGTTAGGAATATTGAATAAGTAGGAATATTTTCATTGAAAAATGTCCCATTTTTGTTGTCGGGAGCGTTAGTTGATTTCTCCTGTGATGGAAGGCCACGAGACACATTGGTATAGAGTGACGAAAGTAAAATTCATGAAAGCTGCTTTTTGAATTTTGGATTTGTTGTTCCAGGTAAATTATTTTACCTTGACTCCGAACTTGGAACATTTGACACACTACATATTGATTAATGAACATAGCATTAGTTCAGATAATGAATATTCAAGTATAAGGCCACGGGCGGAAATAAAAATAAAATTTGATCTTGGACGCAAAATATAGCTACCACGACATCACAACATCAAGTGAAAACATGATTATTTATATTGTAACTATCATTCATGTTTCAGACTTTAGAGTCCGCTGTTGAACTAGATTGGTCAGGCCCAGTATGCGATTCATCGCGGTATGGATTTTCTGTCTTACTGTCCTCGCAGAATAAAGTCGGTGCCGTATTCGGCAAGAATATGCCAGACTTCTACATTTTTTGAGGGGAAATCATACCAGTTTTATTTTTGTAGCGGGCCTTTTCACGACTAAGGGGCGTTATTTTTATTTGTATTCGATTTTTTGAAAAAAATTAAATTTGTGTGGCCTAAGATCAGAATTATTGTGGTA